AAACATCTGTCAGTTTAATATCAAAGAAATCATGCAGGCAAAAACAGAAAAACATGCAAGGAAAAGAATTCTCACCTTGTATAAACAGCCATGTGAATTCCTGGCACAAAGTAGAGGTGAATTCCGGTACTCAAAATGCCTGGAGATGTTCTTGCAAGAAGTAATGGCATTTTCATTTCCATGACAATGTTGATTATGCCACATAGAGAGCAGTGCTAACCATAGACGGCCTACAGACAGCTGGGAATGAACCAGTGGCAGAAAGAATCTCCAAACATCCAGAAAACTGAGTTTTTCTAGAGATTGCTACAAAATAGTAGTGAGAGAGAAGGAGTGTACGACTGAATTAACTGCTGGGCAGGAGAAGAAAACCATAGGATGCCTCAAAACAGGGCTGCATAAAATATGAGAGCAATTACTAAAAGAAACATGCAGATGTGTAGCAACCGTCTACACATCGGTGTGGGTTTTTTTTTCTCTCAGGAAAAACACTGTGATACACTCTGCAGAGTCATCTTCACTGAAAGTGTTTCTTGAGGGTGATCCAGGTTGGTGAGATCGAGATTTGAGAATGACAAAAAAAGCTGAAGTAGTTTCATTTTCTCCAGTATTTCTGTAACAACATCTCTAGAAATAGTGCTTCCTCCACGATAGTCAGGACTTGTGGATTACCATTTACCTGGATTATATGAACTGCAAGTGGTTATTGTCAAAACAATTGCAATTTAAAAATCTTCATACTGTTTAGGAATAAAAGTATTTCACTACTGTCATTGCAGACTTCATGAACACCTTTATCTGTTTTTACCTTTATTTGCATTGTTTTACCGCTGGAATTTTCTTGGATTTTTAAATAACCACAAGTCTAACGCGCCTCTCTGAATAATCACATTGTGTTAGGTAGACTCATGAGAAGACTGGAAAGAAAGGGATAAGAATTTAACCATAGAGAAGAAGGAGAGATTAGTTGATTCCAGAGGAAGAACTGTAGAAGACATTGAACAGGTATCTTAGTAGAAAGGAGCAGTTTTGTTTGCACTATTCATAAATATTGAAAACCCAGATTTTGAAGGTGCTAGAGCGAAGAAAATCCTTTTTATAATTACCTAAAGTTTAAATCCCATCGCCAGGCAACTTTCCAATAAGAGGACTGGACATCTGTATGAAGGTTTTTCACTTAGTGTTACTAGGAAATTTCAAAATATGATTTGAACACATTAGGCTTACTTGAAATGTAGCTTTATATCTTCCTAATAGATCTAGGCTGCTTCAAAGGTTGCAGTAATTACTATCCTAGCTGGTCAAAAAGTTTCTCTAAATCTCACTGGCCTGCCTTTTACTGTCTACGGGCATCATCACCATGAGTACAGTATCACCTAAAAGAAGCCTCACTTCTGCTTCTAGATTATTCTTCCCACTGCCTGCCCACACCTGACTAATCCCATCCTTCATGTCTTAAAAGCTCTCACTGATTTAACTCCTTCCTGCTTTTGTTCTCCTTTCCCTAGATCTTGTATGGAGAACTTTGTGTGTGTGGCCTTGCAGATCTTTCTGCGAGCTGTGAAATAATTTTTTTTATATTCCTTTGCACAAAGACTTTGGGTGGACACAATTAAAGTGGTTAGAGTGGGTTTCAGTCACTCAGTGCTAAGGACTCTGTAGCAATGCATAGTCTTTAGCTATGCACAGGTGATAACTAGTGCAATTAAATCCATCTGCGAAACATAAAGCTGATAGAGACACAACAAAGAATAACAGACTATGCTATTACTGCAAGCCACCTCTTACCTTCATGATAAATGTGAGTAAATTTAAAGTTTTGTTAAGTTCTAAATGCCCATCATTTGTATTGTAGGCCAGGGAAATGGCTGGGAACAAATGCAGTAGAATTGCAGGCTGTCCAGCCTCATAGAGAAGGGTCTAAGTAGTTGTTGCTCTTTCACACCAGCAGTAGGTAAAAGTTTAAAGGTTGATAAGAAATGCAACTCTCAAATGAAATAGCCAGGCACAAAGTGGCAAAAAGTCTATACCTGCCAGTCATGTATTTTAATTGCCATATTACAGTTAGTATCATCAGTACTACTGATTTTCATAAAAATTATACAATAAATTTTGTTAAGCTTCCTTATCTATTTTTCCTATAAAATAAGCAACAGCCAGGAAAATAAAAGAATAGAGAGGTTGCTGCATACAGTACTGCCAAAAAGCTATAAAAAGAGAAAAAGTTTGAAAGAGTATTCACTATTTAAGTCTTCTAAGAACTCAGTAAATGTTCAGTGTCTCTCTTCTGTTAATGTTGTTTTGTGTACTAGAAGATTTTAAGCAAATATAATACAGCCATGTGTCACTGCTAATGTGGCATCCCACCTTTTTAGAGAAAGATTTTTTTTTTCTCCTGCTACTCATTTGCAGAAGTGATGATGAAGTTCCTACGTGCCAATGCTTATTTTAGACAGAATTTGTGCTTAACAAGGAGGAGCAAGATGGTAGCCCTTCTTTGGGGGAAGCTTTTTTTTTTTTTTTTACAGCTCTATGCAGTTTATTCTGCTTTGCAGATCGATAGGCTCCAAACCAAATGCAAAACAAATAATTTCTGAAAGTAGTGATTAAAAGTTTCTTTCCAAAAGATCCAAACCAAACTCACAGGACTCACAGAAGTGTAAGTTTTAAGTGAAAAATTAAATGCTGTGTGGGCACAGACAATAATGGCTTTAGGAGGAAGCATGAGCCTTTTCCTTTTTCCTCTCTCTCTCTCTGTTTTTTTTTTTTTTTTCCTTCCCAATGGATTTAAAAATATATATGAGAAAAACTTGTAAACAAAATCTGGATCTCTTCTAATAGCAAATTTTCTATTTGCACTATGCTTCCTAAAATTTCCTGATGTTTGCCTCATGGCATTGCTAGTCACCAAACCATGCAATGCAGTGTGTCTGAGGATGATTTAGAAGCACAGCATCTAGCTTTGACCTGAAAACTTTATGATAGCAAAGTGAAGGGTTCTCCTGCACTGCCACTTGGGAACAGTCGAGCAAGCTCTAACCTTGGAGCGAGAGGGAGGTTTGTCTCTTCCTCCCATCCAGTGAAAAGCACTCAGGCAGTAACTGGAAAACATTGTGGTAAACAAGCTCTTCACAATTCTTGAGGGAAAATAAAAGACCTAGGATCCTCAGCGTGTGCTGCTCTGCATTTCTGGTAGGTGAAATAGTCCTAACTGCTTTTCTCAAGTCACTGGGAGATGCTAGGCTACAAGGCTTTTCAGCTATTTAGCAAAATGTAGAACACACATGCTTTATTACAATGTCCCTGATCCCACGAGTGAATAGAATGAAAGTTCATAGGTCTTCTCCCTGCTATACTGTTAGCAGCAGCATTGTAAGACTTGTCAGTACACACTGAAAATTGTTGCTTTCAACACTTTTCATCACAAAGTTTCATGTCAGGAACATTTCACAGTTAATTCTTATAAGAAATGTTTTCCTAATCTTTAAGCTAATGATGGTTTGCTTTTCTTTCACTTCAAAACTCTTTGCATACAAGCAAATCTTTTACTCAGTGCTGCAATAAACCGGCAACATGCAGTGACGAAGAGTTGTGCTTGCTCATGGCATGTGATAAATCAGGTAGGGGAAAAAAACACAAAAGAATCTTCTGTGTGTGTGAGAATATGCTTTTCCAGCAGATGGTAATTCTCTGCATTTTGTGCAACAGAACTATAATGATTAAAAAGGTAACAGCAGCTAACTGGAGCTACCAGAGAAACTACCAGGTGCAGTAACATGACTGTGTACAACGCTGGGCTCTTCCCAGCGTGGCAGCTTTTATATTCTTCATTATTTAGATGCTCATCTAGGTACTCACTGCATCCAGAAAGTACAGTCCTACTGATTTTACACTAAATGGCCTCTCATGTTTCTGCTGCACAGGCCCCAGTGAATGATGCTGCCATCATGCAGCTGGGTGTTGCTGATTTCAGCAGTGCAATCACTGCCTCTTTGTCTTACAGGCTGATGCTGGGCAGGAGGGATAAAGGAGCCCCTTTGCAATTTCTGGGCATGCAGAATTGGTAAGAGCAGGCTTGGGAACAGGAGAGGGAGCAGACTGGTGAAGCTAGAGTGCAGTGGCAGCAGTTGTAGCTTTGCCAGTGAAGGCTGCTGCTACACCACGGTACCATGAAATGTCTCTCTTGTTTTTCCAAGCCATGATGATGATGGAGACTTTGGGATTACTGATATTCTGTGGCTCTAGAGAAAATTCTAATATATCTATGTCCTTGACCTGATGGTGTCTTTTAACTCGTTTCATCTGCAGGGTCATCACTTTCCCATAGCTGTGGGAAACATGGCTAACATATATTTTTCATTTTAAGGGTTGGATTATGCAGACTTTTCTCCATCCAGTTATAAGCGTACATACATTTTCTGATTCATTGTCTGGTTTTTCCTCATACCTCTGAATGCCATTAAAAACCCCTACAGAATGGAAAAGACTGAATAAACACATGGAAAAGAGTAATTTTTAAGAAGTATTTTCTTCAGATCTGCAGAAATGTAGTCTTTTTTGATACACAGTACTCCTTGCTTGGAATATATTATTTCATTATATTCTTGTATCTATCATCCAGGTTTGTCTAGTGAAACCACAGTAATTTACCTTCTGTGTTTTAAATGCTGTAATAGTTCTTGTTTGTGTTACCTGGGATTGGCTTTATTTTTATTTTTTTTTTTCCAATATTTTTTTTTGCTCTGTCAGTTTGAAATTCTACCACAAATCCTGCCTTATTTTCTTATGCTTCAGCATTTGTGGTTTATTTTTTCCTTGTTTCATGTTTGTTTCAGAAATGCAAAGTATGATTTTTCTCTTTGATGGCACAGAAATATTTGTGTCACAACTGAAAGTGTTAAAAGAAAGTTAAAAGAATATTTCCTGTAGCTACATGTGACTGTATGTTTAATAACAATTTTCTCCTACTCCTTCTTGTGGAAAGGTCTATTGCATCTTACCTTGTCCAGAGAGACTGTCTCTATCAGCTTCCTTGAAAGGTGGTTCTGTTACTCCAAGCAGTTCTTTCTTCATCTCAGCTTCAGTATGCTCATCTGTGGCTTGCAGGAAAGTAGGTAGGGTAAAACTACCTGTGGTATAAATTGCCAATGTGATAACCTGCTCTGTTGGAGACTCATTGTCATCGGTGATTAAGTCCTTGCTCTCTGACTCGTCTGCTGGAGGAGGCAGGTAGGAATCATCTGGCTTTGGAGGACTGTCTGTGCTAACCAGAGCACTGAAAGGCACTGTGAATCTTTGGTAATCAGTAGTGATATCTTCTGTGTCTGGAGATTTGTCGTGAGGTGGTTCTCTGGAGGGTTTGGTAGGGAATGCGGGTTCAGATGTAATAAAATTACTATCAAAGTCTTCAGGTCCACCAATCTCTCTGCTGAGATCAGAGATTCCAGTTGTAAATTCATCAACAAAGAAGCCTCTGGTTTGGTCCACCGTTGCTGGGCTGGGATAAACCAGTGGGAGTTCTGCGCTTATGGTGTCATCCTAAGAAAGAATTTCAGAGGGAAGCAGATTTTAAAGGTGGTTTTCATTATTGTTTAACTTTCACTGCTAAAATAGCCAATAATCTTTAGTCACGGGAATCTAGTTCAGCATGAAGTCATGGGATACACCAAAGGTCTGACATATGCATGTGATCCCAACCGCACTGCCTGGCATTTTAAATGCAGTCAAAGAAAGATGACGTTTTCTCTCCCTGTCAATTGTTCTCCTCTCTCTGAGGTGCACTACTGAACTGGTGAGCAGTTGTTTATTTTTAATTAAAACTGGAAAATGCACTCAAGTGGTAATATTCACCTGTGAATGAAACCGTATCTCTTCTTGCACTGCATCACCACAGCACTCATTGTTATAGCATGCATAAAAGGCAGATATATATTTTTGCAAAAGAGCATTTTACTGTATATTTACAAGCGCTTTCTTGGTACTTAATGTCATTTCTCATGAAGAAATAGATAAATAAAAGGGGTGGAATTAACTCACCAAATCAGGGCCTGCCAGAGGAATGGTGACCATGCCTTGGATGTCATTATCAAAATCACTTGGCGGTCGAATAGGTTCTGGGGAAAAAAAAGAAAACAATATTTCAGCAATAGCACACTGAAAACTCTTCTAAAACAGAGGAAAAATGTATTAAAACTACTCTCCATAAAAAATAATGGTTTTTAAAAGTCCATGTTAAGAATACAGAGGCATACATTTCAAATTACACTGGTATTTATGAAGAAAGAAGGAGATTTATATACAGTATTTTGTATTCTTTGTTTAGTATGAATGGGATAGGGCTGCAGAGAACTGAACTGGGCATAGCTGGATGAATGATTAAAATCAGCTGAACCACTCAGTTACACTCACATGGGTTACGATGATTCATCACACTGTGCTGTTCATTAAGACCAAATTGCTTTCAGTTTTACCAGGAGCCCACACCATTGCTACTCAGTGTTTTGGCTTTAGCACTGCCTTAACCCTCTCAGAGGAGCTCTTCGAGCACACGTACATGCATGTTGCTTTTCTAAAACTGTTTATTAAACATAACTAGAGGGAAAAAATTGATTAAAAATAAACACTATTTAAGTGTTCTATATCCATGAAAATTTGGATTGGCATCTTTAATCTATATTAAAATAAATTTTAATATTATAGAAAATATTAATTCATCTACATATTTTTTTTAGAGGGAAGAAAATTCTGTTGCCTGTAAATGAAACAGTATAGCTATGAGATTGTTTGTGTTTTAATGTCATTTTGACAAGCATACGTATGAGGAACACTGTAATGTTATTTCCCTGATTTTAACTCACCTCCCCAATGCTAGGGCTTTTCTAGCTTTGAAAAAATTGCTGATGGACTGTAAGGGGGTATTCATTAGCTGTAGTACTATATTAGATGCAGTCCTTCAGCTAGGGCTATTCTCACCCATCTTTATTAGTACTCTAAATTTGTATTCCACTTTCGTTAAATCTTAAACTTGTATTCACCTTTGCCCTTTAAGGTATCTGTCCCTCTCTGTTTCTCCATCAGGAGGTTATGGGGCTTGCTTGCAATAGAAGTTTAGCTGTTAGAATGCTAAATTCAGGTTAGAGAAATGCCTTACTTTTTATCTTATTAAAGAAAGGTGTTTGTCCACACTGGGAATTCAGAATGAGTTAGTGAATATTCAGGCTATTTTACTTTTTCTTCTCTGGTTTGCCGTAGTGTGCGAAATATTCAGATTTTATAAACCAATGGAAACAGACCTGCAAATCTGATTGGAAGTCCGACTATTTAAACACAGAGGTGTATTTTGTTACAAACTTTGATCTGTGCATCCTTTAACTATTTTGCAACCCTTAGGAGACGTAGGTACATCATATGAAAATGACCTTGAACAAAGCTAAGGACACTGTATTGAAATTACATAAATTTGCAAGGCAAGGTTCAGACTTGTGCCCAGTATTGGCCTGCCTACTGACCGTCAGTAAACCGAAGTGTCCCAAGGTCCACTGGTAGGGACCTGTCTTCATGGAGTGCTGTAGCAACCAGCTGCTGAAGGTCCGTTACTGTGAGTTTGGTTGCTGATATTTCCCTCTCTTCCTTTGCAGAGAGTGGTGCTTTTTCATTTTCAACCTTATTTGATCCAATAGTTGAGATGTCATCTGCAGTGCTTTTGATTTCTGAGCCATCTCTCTCAAAGTTTACCATGTATCGCGCTATAGTGCTGCTTGACCTGCAAAGGGAAGATGCAAAAGCGTCCAGTGCAGCAAAATCAGTTACTGCCTGAAGGCTGATCTTACAAAGAAGCAAAATAAAAAAGTTCATGCAACCACAGCATATTCTCTACTGTAAAAATAACACAAATATGTTGCTTTCTAATGACACTGCAGTCTTCAAATTACTTTTACCATGCCTAAACCTTTTCTCCTTCTGTTCATACTTTTAAATTAGACTTCATATATTGAATGAAATTATAAAAATATTCTAACATAATCCAGTTTAAGATGACTACTCAGAAACCTGTGGAGCTTATAATATTGCTTGACACAGTTCATTTTTGATTTAAACAATCATAAATCCATGCTGGCAGTTACAAGAAGCAATAATCACCTACTAATCATACAGAAACATACCAAAAGGAATTTAAAAGTTCATAAAACCACAGGTAAGAAAAAATCCTATGAGATCTGGGGCTTTTTCTTTCTTTCTTTCTTTCTTATTTATTTATTTATTTTTAATGAAACAAGTCAGGAAAGTTAGCTTATTTGGCAAGAAGGTAATATTTCACAATGGGAAACAGCCTTTCAAAATTCAAATGAGTATTGCTTCTTACTTGCTTAACAGAAGACTTGAATCTTCCAAATTATTGATACATCACCTTTCAGAAATTGTAAATTCACATAATTAACATGAAAAAGAATGAGTAAAACATTTGTTGTTTTCTATAATATCAAATATTTGGAAAGAAAGGAAGTACACCTTATCTAGTATACGCTATGTATTTTTGTTTATGTGATGTTGCAAGAATCTGGGAAAAGAAGTAGAAAACTCTTCCATTTAAACTAGCAGTAAAAGAGAAATTCTAGGATCTGCCAAAAATATTATTCCCCAGCAGCACTTCTAAGCCAAAAAAAGCACCCATAGTTGTATTACAAGTCCATATCTCCCTGTATTTTATTAATCTAGTAACTGGTCTCTTTGCCACAATATTTGCCATGACAACACAGGTAACTAAGAAAATCCTGCATACTTACTGAAGATAACATTTGTATGGAAACACACAGATGATCAAAACTGAAAATTTAATAGGCAGTTTTTGTTGGTTTTTTTTTTAAAGTTTATGACTGATAAAGATGTTTTATCATCTGAATGTAAATTTTCCTATGTCATGCGATTTCCTTTCCTTGAGAGACATCCTGACAAGCTTGATTGTATGAACCTTGCAGATGAAAATGAAATCTGTCCCTGCTGCATTATGTCAGAAATTCTGTACTTGGACAGAACGCAAATCAATTCACTTGGTCACAAGATAAATACTATTTATTGATTTGTCTTAATTTCTTAGACTATAAAATGAACAAGCTTCATTATGAATTAGAGGCAAATTACCCATCTTTCTCCTTCTTCTGCCTTCATTTCATCGCAGAAAAAAAAGAGTACCATAGAGGATTGCAAACGAAAAAGAAACAAAGAGTTATATATACTGGTAAATCAATCAGTTTTACATCAAAAATATCTGCTAACAATTTATCTTCTATGCATTACCTATGATTTTTATTTCTGTGTGAAAATGACAGCCTGTTCTCCATCATTGCTCTTTTTTCCTTCAGAGTAGTGCAAATCATCGTGTTTTGAGTGGAAAAACAGGAATTTTACTTTATCTTGACAGTCTGAAATATTTGAAATAGCTTTCCTATTTTTCACTACCAATGGTGCAATTTGAGCATTGCTGATCATTTCTTTACAAAAGCAATGAACACCTTTGACAGTAGAAGCAACTGTTACTGTGCACATTATACCTACTCTCATCTTAGTCACAGGGGTAATGATCTATTAATCACTTTGAAGGAGATGCCTATGTTGACGTTCTTGTCGTTATCTCCCTTGATGAATTCTCTGGCACATCACTAATGCTATCTTTTTGTATTGCCTTGTGGAAAATGCTGTGAATAAATGTGGTGATACGGTCAAAGGAGAATGGATGCCCCGTTCAAGGCCAGATTGGATGGGGCCCTGAGCAGCCTGGTCTAGTATTAAATGGGGAGGCTGGTGGCCCTGCATGTGGCAGGGGGGTTGGAGCTTTGTGATCCTTGAGGTCCCTTCCAACCCTGGTGATTCTGTGATTCTGTGGACAGCAACATACCTAAGGTCTGTTTTTGTAGACCTAGCTAAGTCAATCACTAATTGATGGGCAGCTCTGGTCATTCACATTGATGAATATACCTGCTTATCAGCTACAGAAAGCTAAGAATGCGATACTAAGCAGAAGTAGATTACAGATCTCTTTGAGTCTCAACTGAGATTACTTGTAAGTTGTATCTGTAAGATGCTATTGCAGATATTTACTTGTTATGCAGTAGCCAGCTTTTTCTTTTCTTACTTTAATTATCAAAATGATATGCAAGTCATTTTCACTTTTGTTTGCTCTTTTCTCTCCTATTTACAAGCAATTTTATAAGCAAAAAGCTAGGAATCATAGAATCACAGAGTGGCCTGTGTTGAAAAGGACCATAATTATAATCTAGCTTCAATCCCCCCCTGCCATGCACAGAGTCACCGCCATGCACAGAGTCACCTCCATGCACAGAGGATGCCCATAGCCAGTCTGGAAAAAGAATGCTTTTCTAAAATTTCATTTTGATACAGATGTTTTTCATTATGTATTTCAAGTTGAATGTTCCTAATGCTGTGCCGTAAGACCACAAATTTCTGTCTCTTCCTTCTCTTTTAATTTCAATTTTATGTTATTTACTGCTGTTAGCAATTTGGTTTTCCCTTTACTCTTTACATAATGTATTTTTATCTATTGAAGCACAATTGAAGTTTTTGGAAGGAACTGTATTTCTCTATTGGAAAAAAACTAACACGGCAGCTTGTATCAGCAGTAAACATGGAAAGAAGCTAAAACTAATAGAACTGGCAAGACAGAACAGGAATCTAATCAAAGGAATTTTTTTACATACCTGGCAGAAACCTATTTGAAAATTTTGTGTGTGAACCTGTGTCCTCATGCAACTTTCTCTTTCCAAAGAAGCTTCACTTTGACCGTGAAGAGCGCAAGACCCACATACAAAGTGTAGCCATCTAAATTATCCTACCTTTAACTCTCCTTGTCATTTAAGAAAGTCCTTAATGGATAATTTCAGAGCATTTATTTTACTTCACCTATAGTAGGATTTCTCAGATAATTAAAGCTACTTCTTAATAATTTGAAAGCTTGTAGTCTCACTTGGAATGTATTTGCACTTCTCTCCATATTGTTGCTTTATTGCTCCCAGAGAACTATTTTCTATTTATTGAAACACATATTCCACTATCAATAAGCCTCTCCATGTGAAGAAAAGAAGGGAGAGTAGAATCCTAGTAGCCAATAGAAAAATGAACCCCATTTTCTTACTTACTTAAATCCCAATACGTGGATTTCTTTAAATCCTGGAAGTTTCTCAAATATTTTTTGCATCTATAGAAAAACATAAACTCATTAATTCAGTGTAACTGTTATGGCTAAAAAGCAAAGCCACAGGTTGTATACCTAGACTATATTTTTCATGTTTCAGAGAGGGCTTTAGGAAACAACTTTAACTGCCCTTTTTGTGCAACTGTCATTGCTCAACTGTAACAAAATCTTTGCTGTCTGCTTTACCTGTTAATAGGCAAAATAAGTTCAAAATAAATGTTATCTCTGTATACATTTTTTCAGATTAGAATTTTTCTCAGCATCTCAGTAATCGACGGTATTTTGAGCTATAGCTAACTGATAAATGCAGATTTATCTGCCAAAATATCTATTTTATGTACATCTTTTTTGGAAGAGAAGAGGGATTCTTTTTAAAAAGCACAGTTCCTTTCTGATTCAATTTCTGGTCCTGCCATGGTACAGGCAGCACATCATCTCAGCATTTCTTCTGCTAGTAAGGAAAAGAATGGAGGTAACTACTTGATCTAACAGTAAAAATGATGTAGAAGTAGTAATTATGTAATTATGTAAACAAGAATATCTCCTTTGTGAAATTCTTTGGAGAAAAGTGCATCAGCTATGTTTCATGCTACTGGACTACAAATCATTATCTTGTCAACATTTCATGTCAAGAACAGCTATGGACATTACAAAGAGATCAGATAAAATTTCACAACAACGGAAAATAGCTTACTAATCAAGAAACATTTTATTTTTCCCTCCCATATCCACTTCCTCATATTCTACTTATTCTATGACATAGGAATACTTTAAAATTAATTAAATGTAAGTCATATTGCTGACTTGCACCATTGTGCAACACGTGTAATAAACAAAGTATGCAGGCAGTCCTATTTGAGGATAATACTGGAGAATCCAGTTTTTTATTGGTTCTGCAAACATGTTCTTCTGTTTTTCTACACATATCTGAAACTGAACAAGGATAGTGAAATATTTTGTACTGAGGAGCACTCACGAAACTGATGAGAAAGCTCATTTAATTTTACTAAGAAGAGCTTTTGGGAACATCATCATTAATTGCTATCTCTAAAAATGATAGTTGAACATTACATTATCATTATTAATTATATGAAGACACTGCAGATGTTCTAGTTCTTAGAGAAATTATGGTAATGAACAACAAAAATGACTGAAAGTCCTTTGAAAAATAGTTCAGAACAGAGTAGCTAATTACTTTTAACATTTATATTACATTTTTCATTACGTTTATTGCAGAAATTAAATTATGATAAGTAATATTGTCCATGAATTCCTGATTAATCCCACATGATATTCCTAAAGTTACAGATGGAACAACATTCTTCTCATCAGTTATGAGGTTTCGCTGATGACCAAGATGATTGCTTGTTAGCTTGGCAGCTGGACAGATGGCCTAAACAATGGGAAGAGATGGTAATATCTGATTGGAAACTGAAGGTCTTGAGAATATTGTCTCCTTTAAATGAGAATGGCTTACTCTAGTCTTTTTTCATGGTGGAAGTAGCTTCATGATATGAATCTATACAAGGTATAAAACCAAGATTTCAGTGTTCACTAAGCCTCCTTACCTGTAGTTGAAATTTGGCAGCTAATTGTTGATACTGTGGGGAGTTGGGATCGCTAAGTTCAGCTGTGTATTCCTGATCCGTGAGAGTGACACTGAATTCTACCATTTGTTCTGCAGGAAGTTCTGGGACTGTATTTGTTCCTAGTTCCTAAAAGAGGAGAGAAAAAAAAAAAAAAGGAGAAATAAAGGCGAGTGATCATTTTCCCCCTACATTTCAACACTTAATAGATAGATGAGTTCCTTTTTAAACCCATGCCCCAAAAAGCTTTCTGAACCAGACCCTACAAATGGTGACAGTTCACAGCCACTTGATTTTATTCTTCTGTCTTTGCAAATAAGTTTTTATTACTGTGACTTGAGAGCTACCTTTTACATTCTCTTGTATTCATAGAAGAAAATGAAGCAAATCAAACCATTTTTTTGCAGTTTTCAATTCTTGTTTCCAATGTTATTAAAGTGGTATGGCTTGCCACTTTGGAGGATGGTTCTTGACCTCAGGAAAAGGAACAAGTAAATGATAAAACCTGTTGGTATCCTACCTTCAGAATACATTAGTTAATAATAGAAAAACTGCGAATGTGTCTTTTACAGTTTCATGTTCAGACACTCGTATTTGTTTTCCCAAACAAAGTAGAACAAAGTAGAATTGGCTCTACTCATGTGACACCTTTCCTGTGCAGATGACTTTACTACTATTAAAAGTACTCTTATTTAATTTATTAATTCCCAGTACTGTTAATAGTTTTGGTCTCTGCTTAGTAGTTTTTCCCTTCCTTAACATTACTTTCCAAAAGCTGACAGTGGCTTGTGGAACGCACCCACTGTGGGTGCATTCAGAAAGATTTCCTAACTCATCCTAAATATAGTATAATTTTGCTAATTTCGAGGTTGAGAGAGATGTCTCAAAATTTTTTTCTCCAAAAGAGTGGTCAGATGCTGGAACTAGCTGCTCAGGGAGGTGGCTGAGTCACAGTCCTTGGAGATGTTCAAGAAATCTATAATGTTGTACTAAGGGACGTGATTTAGTGGGAAAATGTTGGTGGTAAGTGAATGATTGGACTATGATGGAGAAGATTGGAGATGATCTTGGAGATCTTTTCCAATCTTTGTGATTCTGTGATTCAAAGTATTGGAGCACAAGTGCCTATTGAAGTGATACAGAGATGTCACTCCGGAAACTTTACTGCACTGACTGCATATACGTGGCTTATTTATACTTATTAATAAGTTATATTCTGTAGTCTTTTAACGTTTTTTAATGTTTGAATTTGCTCTAGGATAATTCTACTCTTAGCCAAGCTTTTTATACCTTGTGTTAAAATAACAATAAGAGCAAGATGATGATTGTGGTGAAGCTGGTCCAAAAGAACAGAAAACATATCAGCCTGAATCCCATGCAGGGATGGGATTTCCATTTCTGCTGTAGGATGGGCTGGCATAAGGCTACTGAAGACATCTGGACCATATGTACACCTGGGTTTTGGTAGTTTTCAAGAATAAGTAGTAGAGGAATCATATAACTGCAATGTTTTCTCATTGGAAAGAATATTTTCTGCCCCAATTAATTCTCCATACTTAATTCTTCTAAGCCACTACTTGGGATGCCTCAGTTTTGAAGGAAAATATATTTTTCACTCTATATAAAAGATATGGCTCATCTGTTAAAGATTATTCTACAGTATAAACACAAGATCAAGGCAAACTTAATTTCTATAAATATATTGCTGCCTTGTGACTATTTTAGCCAGCACTTAGCATTTAAAAGGCTTCCCCCTTTTTTCTTGTCCCTCTTTTTCTGCTAGCTCAGTTCAAAAAGAAAAGGTGAATGAAAAGGCTGAATAGGAAAACAGGCTGAGAGTCTTCATCTCACCTTCACAGGAGTCTTGGTCTCGTTGACAATCTCATTGAGCAGTGTTCTGTTAGGTACCAGTGTGTAAGAAAGGGATACGCTGGGGGCACCTGGCAGGGTTCCGAATAAAATCATATGAGAATGGTTTGTGCATTAAGATGGACAAATCTTCCCCTTTCTCTATTGGTCATCTTGCTTTGAGATCTTTGTCTGCGTTATGGTGATTTTCCTTTCTGATTAATTTAAAGTAACAAGAAGCTTTGGCAGTTTTCCATTTGGAGGCAAAACTACCATGCTAGAATTTACAATCAATGATTCTGTCCTATTCAACCTTCCTATAAATGTGTGCAGGATGTTTCCTCCTTGAGCCAAATGCTCATATTTTTACAGATTTTTATAATTACATATATTTCTATCATTTTAAAGAATTCTGGTATGCAGCAGTGTTGATATGTCTAAATTAAGCAATTACTCAATGTAATGTCTTGGCTTCACTGTGACTTTCTGTCAGAAATAATATTCATTTTCTTCTGTTTGATTATTTTGGCCAAAAAAAATGCAGCAGCGAATGCTCTAAATGATACTTTACAACTGAAGAAAAATATGCTTCATTCACTATACATGAAACTAGCAAAATATAGTTTAGAAGATGCATTTAAAGACATTGAAAATGAATATATGAAAATAAATATATGATAAAAAATGCTACATTTGAATAGCAGACAAGCTGTACAAGAAACAAGAACTGCTTATTACATACTATTTTGCTAAGCTGCTTTTCTTGTACTTGACTGAACTTGCTGTGCTTCTACAGCATTTGTTCAGTTACAGCCTACTAAGATCATTGGTTTTAGCAATTCTATTTGATGGACAGGTACAGAGCAAGCAGATTTGACTTTACCTGTAGAAACAGAAGGAATGTCTTCCAGCTTTTTGCCACCTGTTTTGTCTGTGGTTATTTCATCTTTCCTATCAATCAGATAGAAATGAATGATTTAATTATCAGCATGCTTACAAGCAAATGTGAAGGTGTAACAAAATGTAGAAATGATATCTGCATTAGATGTAGTTAAATTAATGAAGTTATTTGCAGTGAAATATATGATGATGTGGTTAAACAGGGCTGCTTTATATTCAGCAGTTTATAGAAATGCTTGCCTACTTTCCTCTTCTTCTATCTCATATTTGCTCTTTCAATGAACAAAAGTACTGATCATATTATATTTCTCCTCCCAGTCCTGTGAGTCTGCTCACAAGCTTTCATAGTGATATTTTCCTGAGCAGTCAGAGAGAAGGATCACACAGGTGAATACAGTGCTGATTCTTCTCTAAGTCACTGAATAGTTGACCACTGGCAGAAGAGTGAACAAGACATCGTGAATTATCTAAACAAACAGATTATTTCCTTTGCTATATCTCATACTATCAGGATAGTTTTGTGAGTTCTCTAGCCTTAAAATATTTGAGTGAATGAAAATACCATGTTTTCAAGGACATTTCATGATTTGCTATGGGAAGAAGATGGGAGGACCTTTTGTTCTGCTATTAGCCTACACTAGAATATCATCAAACCACTACCAACTAATATAGTTTCAAATCAGATTCCTAGGTTAAGATTATTATAATTGTAAAAATATTTAGATTTGGATGTGGATATAATATCTGTCAGTTAATGTCTCCCATGATCCCTGTGGTAGATGGCTGAAAACTCAAGTATATGATGAGTATGGATTTTCTACCTTACAGGATTGTTTTTTGTACTGTCAGCAAAGTAGTATGTATGCACACATACAACAGGTACACTTTATTGTAGATGCATTAAAGATTTCTGCTGTTAAGGCTGTAGAATAGTTTCTACTCTTAAAAACAATATTTGTTATTTTGTACCTTTTAGAAACAGTTTCATAGATAAGAATGTTTTAAGTCACTCACTGAGATTTTTCTTTCATGTAAGCTGAGGTGAAGAATTTAATTTGTTTTGGGTTGTAAGTAGAGTGGGAAAAAAATATAAAAAGAGCATGAAAGTGAAAAGCCCCATCATGGAAACTGACAATGATAAATAGAATTCCTTTGCATAGAAATGGCTATCATTAAAGTAGAATATACAAGTGGAATGTATGTGAAAACTGGAAATGGAATGGAAAAAACTATGGCTCTGCAAATGTGTGGTATGACATTAACTGCGACAGCAAGAAGCTGTAGAATAGACAGAAAAGATGGCAGGGCTGCATTTTGACACAGGACCAGCCTAGGTGTTGAATAGCATAAATAAAACAGCATGGACAGCTCTGAATTTACCACATTCTCTGGTAATCCTGTGTGGTGAGAAATAAAATTTATGTTGTTTTCATAATGTCAAATAACTTGAGACTTATCCCTCTATCTGATATCTTACAGAAATACAGAACTTTTCCCCAAACTACCTAATAGTAAAAATGAAGTTCAACAATGCATAATCACAGCTACCTGCTTTTCCAGCTAAAATCTGAGTAATTTCATAGATTTTACCTCATCTTCTGAATTGTGCCTGGAGAAAACCATGCTGTTTATACAGAGCATAAGAACTCTGAAATAAGTCACTTCACTCACTGCCTTCCTGCTGCTGTTTGCACTACACTGAGTGAGAAGATCTCCCTTTGGACTTCCAGCAAAGTTTAATTAAGTCCTACATTATTGAAAATACATTTAATAGAAAGAAGAATACTCAAAGATCCCATGTTATAATAAGTAAAGATGCATAAGAACTCAGTATTCTTGAGACAGTACAATGTATGAATGGAAAATATTGTTTGCTATCTCTGAAAATCTAAGACTATTTGAGGGCAAAATAATACATTCATCAGAAAGTGTGGACAACGATATTTTTCATCTGTACTATGGTATATTTATATGAGAGAAAATTCAATGTTGCAACTTTAATCCTGCCATCTCTGACTTGCAATGATTGCCAGGAGCATTATCCTCTTCCAATATAGTTATCAGAGTAAATAGCATGCCATGTAAAAATACAGACAAAAGATAAAGCGAAAGAACGGAATTTTTTAACCATTTATCATGTAGCCTCCCAGATACACTTTTTTCAGCTCCCTGACTTTCCTTTTAAAAATTGTAGGAATTGTGTGCAATCTTTTGTCATGTTGCCCATGAATGTTATTCTAATGTAAGGCTGTGGCTTTGACATGGATTTGTGCTTGTAGTAGCCTAAGAAGACAGTCTTTGATTTAGATCTAAGTTGAACAGACAATGCGGGTATTCTCCTGCCTTAATTATTTGTGATGTAATTACTGTGTTCTGTAACATGGAGCACACACATCTCTCACAGCACTCACTAAATACAACACAGTGCTATCCATATATATGCTCACATCCACACATCAACGCATCTTTTTCAAGAATGGCAGTAACATTAAGTGCTGAGATTTTACTTGTGCTACTTACCTTTCCTGGAAGGTTCTATGTTTTACTCGCTGTGGAAAGATTAAGAAAAACAGCATTTTACTGGTGAGTGTATCCGATCATAGAGAAAAAGCCTGCTAGATCCTTTGTTTACTGTCCTTTTACTATTTTCTTCTAGTATATGCCCCCTCCTCTACCTGAGCAATACTTTGCCCTTCTATAAGCAGGTGGGGAAGTCTCCCTCCGTTTTTAAATAAATGTCAGTAATCCTTACCCGTTGGATTATTTCCAAGTGCTCTTGGGAATTGCTGAAGTTTTTGCCAATGTCGAATATGCAGAAGGTTTCCCTCTGGCAGGCAGTAACCCAGTTCTGATATTCAGAAGAATCGGGAATCCGATCCAGAAAAATACGAAAGGCTTCCCACACAGCTTCCTGGCAGACTGCGTAAGAAGAAAGGGGCTAGGGATGGATGTTTTGTACCAAAAAAAGTAAAGCTGAAAGTCTTTTTAATGTGATTTGGGATTTACACGTTTTACTGTGCTTAGTAAATAAGTCATCTTCTTGATATTTCTAGGTCTTTTAAGTATTTCTAAGTTGTCAGTCATTTGCCCTGTTGCTGAAGGATCCATTTGCTCTCAGTTAAGGACTGTTATTTTCCTTATTTTAAAAAACAGATTAATTGGGTCCAATATTATCAGCATGAATACAGGGCAAACACAAAGCACACTTTGTTCACCTCAAAGATACACGCACTGGAAGTTCCAGCAAACAAGGAAGTAGATTAATAATTTCTAGCAGTCTTCATACTGGAATAATAGAAATTTTAAGCATATACACTGGTTTCGTACACAACTAGGCTTAGAACAGGTTGAAGTGAAAATATATAAGATCTTAATATTGCTCATATATGTAAGAAAGTGTTAAATTATCTTTTTTTTTTTTTTTTTTTTTCATGCAGCATGCTGAAAATATTTGCTTATATTCTAAATTTCTGCTGCAGTCAGCCTTTTTGACATAAGTGATAAAGGCTTTCTGTAGCATATACATGCTTTATGTTTCTTTAAGCACCTCTGGAAAATCTGAATTACTTAGTATAGGTAAAATTCCTTTGGAAAGAACTCCACTTCCTTTCTTTCTACACAACATTATACACTCATATTCAGTATCAAAAATCTCTTCTGTGGTGGTTAATAGTCCAGTTAAATGCCAGGCTACCTCAAAGGATGTTACCAGGGATTGTGGCTGTGAGAACAGTAGCATTCTGCATCATCTGGAGAAATGAAAGTGAACACAAAGAAAACGTAACAATGGAAGAGGTTTGGAAAAGATGGTATTCATGGCTCTAAAGGAGTTATTGGATGCTAACTGATTTAATTACACGAGAGTATATAAAGCCTAATAGAGGAGGCTGATTCTGTAATTATTCCATTGAACATTACTCACATGTTATAAATCTACTAAGTATATTTGGCCTTGGTCTTGATTGTTGCCTTTTTTAAAGCTGTTTTCTACAAGTCAGAACTTTGTCAGGCATTTTAAGTAAAACTTATAAAAGATATGTTCTTGCTGCAAAGAACTTGCTCTCTTAAAATTTTGAGTGAGGTCTGCGACATGCATGAGTAAGAAAGGAAGGGGAGAAAGCACCAGTAGCTTAGATATAAAAAATCTGCTCAGAAATACTTCATAGGGTCTATTTTCCTTACTTTTCTTACCAAGGAGGTTCTAAGTATCTCCACAGAAGTGAGTTTTTGAGAGGCAGAGGATCACAGAATGGGTTGAAAGGGACCCCGAGGATCATGAAGCTCCAACCCACCTGCCACATGCAGGGCCACCAATTTCTACATTAAATACTAGACCAGGCTGCCCAGGGCCCAGTCCAACCTGGCCTTGAACAACAAGTTCAACAACAAACAACCTGGTTTTGGATGGGGCATCCTGTTCCAGCACCTTACCACTCTCATTGTAAAGAACTTCCCACTGACATCCAATCTAAATCTTCCCTCCTTCAACTTAAAACCATTTCCCTTGTCCTGCTGTTATCAACCTTTTCAAAGAGCTGATTCCCCTCCTGTTTGTAGGCTCTCTTTAGGTACTGAAAGGCTGCAATGAGGTCACACCGCAGCCTTCTTTTCTCCAGGCTGAACAAGCCCAGCTCCCTCATCCTGTCTTCATAGGGGAGGTTCTCCAGCTCCCTGATCATCTTAGTAGCTCTCCTCTGGACCCTCTCTAACACACTCTGTCTTTCTTGTACTGTACAGACCTGGACACAGTACTCCATAAAAGAGGACCAGGTGGGACTACGCTTCGGAGTGTGTGTTTACCAACAGCTTGCTGAAGCCTCATCCTTGCTGTAAGTTGAAACCATTTATAATTTCAAAAGATTCTGAAAGATAAACTGGTCTCTCCTCCAGACAGCTGCTGTCTGTTTGGATACAATAATATTCTTTGGATCCCTGTTCATAAACTTGCCTATCCCCAAACCCAAAAGGTTTGGATTTCACTTAACTTTGCACAGCACACTGCTAAGCCTCAAACCAATCCTATCTGTACCTAGGTAATGTTTAAAATCACTGACCGGTGTCCCTGATCACCTGTAGAAATGATCACTTCTGTAGGTTGTCCCCTGCAGGCATTTTGAACACTGCTGTTGAAAACAGCCATCATAGCCTGGTGGCAGCTAGCACCAATGTGTTTTGAGTAGAATCGTTTCAGTTTATCTCAGATGTCGCTCAACCTTCCCATTAATAGGTGACTGCATCTGTTGCTACTTGAGGATTCCTCTGGTATCCCAAGAGTCAACAAAGCCAGCTGCATTTTCACTTTGTAAAAGGATAATGTTCACTCACTTGAGATAAAGAAATAGACTTCAGAATGTTGCTTGAAATTAAATGCTTTTAGAGAATGGGAATTTCTAGCATGTTAGAAATTTATTTTGCACAGATCATTACCTTGAGATGAGACGTTTATTTTCAGTGCCCGTCACCTGCTTTGACTTAGTGTGAGATAATTATCTGCATTATCTAATACACCAGTGTCTGCAATTAGTGCTAGAAATGGTTATTATCCAAAGTTGATGTAGGGATGCTTTTTTCACATTTCTTTCTTAGGACATCAGACTAATAACTCAGGAACAACTTGCCCTCCAAACAGGACAGCTGTATGGGAAACATAGGTGGCCAGATTATTAAAAAGCAACAGGCTATCTTTTGAAAACAGGGGTTTTCAAAAAGAGTTTTTCAGAGGTTAAGGCTACATTCTGTTATCTTTTTCTCACAACTCTCATTTTTTTTAATTTTTTTTTAAAATGTGTATTAACTGCTGAATAAACATAAAATATCTGTCAAAAAGCAATCCGGTTTTCAGGGTTTAGATAAAAATGATACATGGCCAGATGAAGAGATTTTTTAGGTGATTCCATGCATGTTTCAGAGAGTCATGGTATGGCTTAGGTTGGAAGGGACTTGAAAGATCATCAAGTTTCGGCCTCCTTGGCTGTAGATCAGATTGTCCAGAGCCACACTCATCTTGGCCTTGGCCTCCAGGGATGGGGCATCTATAGCTCCTCTGGGAAGCCTGTGCCAGTGTCTCATCACCCTCTGAGTGAAGAATTTCCTTCTAACCTCTAATGTAGATCTCTCTTCTTTCAGTTTAAAGCCATTTCCCCTTGTGTTATCACTCTCAGACTGTGTAAGAAGGCAGTTTCCTTCCTGTTTATAAGCTCTCATGTACTGAAAGGTCTCAATGAGGTTTCCTCAGAGCCTTCTTTTCTTCAGACTGAGCAAGCCAAGCTCCCTCAACCACTCTTCATAGTAGAGATGCTCCAGCACTCTGATTATCTTTATAGTCCTCCTCTGGGCAAATGCTTCCGTGTCTTTCTTGTGCTGGGGGCCTCAGGCACGGACACATGCATTTTTGCATGCACTTGAGAGTCTGTCTTCAACCTGATGAAGTTTATCCAATAGTTACTGTTTGAGCACATATATTTGAGCAGCTTTGTGTTGTGTGCTCATTCCTGAAGGAATTTTAGCATAAAATAATTAGAATATTGAAAAAAAAAAAAAAAAAAATCTTAAGGAAGTGGTAACATTCTCTAGAGAATAGATGTTATCTACAAAGTTGTTACATTTCTAAATGTGTTATGGGCCTTGGAGAGATGGAGAAGGTCTTCCAGACATTATATAAGGCAAAGAACAGACCTCTGAAAAACAAAATGAAGATAAGGCTGTTCCATGGTGTAGTCTCCAGCATGGCTACACAGATACATCTTTTTGTGTAGGCTTGTATTGTGGTTACCAGGTGTTGCTTCAAGAATAATGCTTGCATCACAAAATATTCACTTCTGTTTTCTTTCCTTCGTTTGTCATACTCAACAGATATGCTAGCATGCTCCCCTGGTACTACAGATATCTTGGTTTTATGATATTTTCCTTGAAGGAAAGATTTGTTGAGGTTTTAACAAAGGACATTATAATAGAGAACACGCAGCTTTCCAAGTAGTAGCTTTTTCCTGAATGTGTGTACAAATTGTTCAGCTGCAGACTTCTGTTCTCTTGTGTATTTTTTGGTAAATGTTCCAGCTGAAGAACTGAGTAACATCTACTCAGAGAAGTTTCTAAGTGTAAGATGCTCTGCTGGGAAAGATGATCTGTAATTTTAAACCTGCTTTCACTACAAGGTTTACAGAACTCAATCTTGCACTCTAAACTGATGTGCTGCTTTCCAAAAAGATGTTACTAGCAACATCGTTAGTTTTTAAAGGAGAATGTCACAGTCACGGTACTTGATTTCAGGCTAATGATGCAAGTGTGTCCTATGAGACCGTGTTTTCAGATCAATCAGGGACATGACCAGTGAGTTTTAGGGATTTTCAGGATTAATTCGCATTTAAGAAAGCCTTTGAGGATCAGCCTCTGACATAGGTTTCAGAATTCTCCCTAATGCCCACTGGCTTGGAATTCAATCCCACAAAAGTTTCTGAATATGTTTGTATCCATAGGAATGACTACAGACACTAGTGTAGCTAGTCTGTGCTGCAAGTGGGATGCGGCTGCTAGAGTAAAATTTTCACAGCTCCGTGTATAGGTTTCATATTAGGGAGAACTAATGGTTCTCTGAAAAAGAGCTGAGAGGGAGCTCTGAGAATGGCTGAAGATAAATAGTAAGGAACAGGTGTGTAAGTAAAGCTGATTTCAAAGATCATATGAGAGCTGATTTAAGATGTTGCCTTAGATACTTGCATCCCTGAAAGGCTGACTCAGTTTTAAAGTAAGCTTTGGAAAGTCCAGTTCCAGCCCCAAATTCTGCTTTTTTAAAAAAACAAAAAACAAAGAACAAAGAACAAAAACAAAAAAAAAAAACAAAACAAAAACAAAAACAAAAACAGATTGGAATAGCCACTGAATGGGAGTGAGAGAGGGAGGAAGAGAAAAAGATATCAGAAACAGAGGGCTATTTTTCCTATGGTGTCTATGGACCTAAAACCAAAGAGATAGCTCTATAAGTTCTCTAAAGATATTAGACGAAAAGAAGTGGAGGGAAGAAAAGAGAGAGGAAGTTGGAAAAGAACAGAAAAAAACCCTCCAAACTTCTAGATTTCTCTAAATGAGACTAAAGTCTTGGGCAGGTATTGCTGGCAATTATCTTGGTGTCAGTACTGTGACAGCACAACCACACTTTCAATAAAACTGCAGATTCTCCAATGTATTTGTGAAATGACATACTATTCATCACCTGTCTTGAATGAGTGGGATAGAATGAGTAGCAAAGATAGTACCTGCTGCACTTTTAGAAAAGTGGTACATCTTCATACAGTAGTGCAAGCATGGTTTGGTCTTCATGTTCTGCCATACTAAAAAGCATTGCACTGAGATAATAGTCTTTTGAGTGAATTGTTTTATTCTGTTCTGGTAATTACTTGTCTTGAGCTGTACTGATGTACATGTATTTTTTAATCATAAAATAAATATCAAATACATTGTCTAGAGCTAAAGATCAAGATTCTGTAACGTCTTTGTCAGTAATTCAGGGAAAAAGTACAATCTACAATTATCATTCTTACCTCTTAATCTGTAGTAAGCTTGGTGACTGGCTAAAATCTGCTTCACTGATTCTTGTGGGCAAATTTTCACACCAGTAGAAAAAAAGGGTGATCTCTTTGTTCGGTGTTTTGCCATGTCAAATATCCTCCTTATAGTTGACACTCTGGACCTCTTCGTTGTTCTTTCTGTTTTGTCTGAGCCTGAGGCATCTGCAAGTTGTTTGGCTTCACCACGATTTGTTTTATTGGGGATTTCTGAAAAAGACAAAAAGTAAACATATACATAAATGTACATTGCATAGGTATATGCAAGATCATGTTTAAAAAAATGAATGCAAATATATGGGCTCTTTGTGTTATTGTCAGTATACTGGATTAATTGTCCAGTGTCACATTGGACAACTGGGATTGAAAAACCTGATAAGTAATTTACTTATAGCTCATCATATAACTTTCAGGTCAAACAAAACAAAAAGTTTCTGAAGCCCTAAATCTTGTTTTCAAAAGAGATTTTGTGTTAGATCCACAAAAGATACTTAGGCACTTGAATTAGTGCTACAGCATCTCATTTATGTATAAGTCTGTAATGAAACGTAAAGCACACTAATAAATAGCTATTTGGATCCTGGAGAAAGTGAAGCACATCTTTATTACTGTATAAAAAGAATTGTATGCTAACAGATATGAGAAATAGCTGTGCTCTTTTTGATGTTCTAATCTTCACTATGGGCTTCTCGGCACATCTCTCTTCATTGGGTTCAGGCTTGCACCCACTCTTGGAACCAGACACTGAAAAACATTCTTTCAAAAGCTAAACAGGAGTTTGATTGTCTTTGGGGACAGAAATATCTTTCTCCAGTCTTTCACTTCACAGTGCACTGCTCTTTCCATCCCTCACCAAAACTGAAATACTAATCAGAACAGACTGCAATTATGCATCTTTGCCACTTGATGATAGTGACCTGAGTGCTCTCAATAGATCTTTAATTATTCCCAGCAAAGCGGAACAGCTACATTAGAAAGAGTGAGATCAGTGAGTGGTAGAAATAGCTGGAGAAATAGTCTCCAAAAAATTAAGAGTAAAACATTGTCAATTTGGTAGAGTAAGACTAACAAACATTATCATGTTCTTATATAAATAAAGAGAAACTAAGGAAGCTAAAATCACATTGACCATATTGTTATTTAAATGTTTAAAGACAAGTTGGCAGATAAATGATAAGAGAAAAATTAAAGAAAATCATATTATTGCAAAAAGAATAGCATTCCAACCACAGAATGGGAGAAATTCTACCATCTTTGTCAGTTTGCATATGTACGTGTATGTATATCTCAGTTCATATTTAACTTCAGAATTAACATTCAGTATTTACTGTAAGAAGCATAAAAATGACACATATATTATGAAGTAGACTTTGAGATGGAAATTAGTTGACTGCTTGATTATGAGGAATGTTTTACTAATGTAAATGCATATACAGTGAAGACACACATGTGATTGTTATGGCCTAGCAAAACATGCCAGAAGCAGCAGCCTGCAGGCCTAGAAGTCTCTAAATGTTGCAAGACAAGGGAAAATGATGATGCAGTCATATAGTGTTATAAAATCCAATTGAAGTAATTATTTTCCTCAATAATGTCAGATCAGTGAAGATTCCTTAAAGGATCTTTACAGTAATAAGGAATAAAAAGAACTTGCACTGTGAAAACATGGCTGGGGGTCCACCAAAAACTAAATGGGACCAAACACTGGATCATTTGAGACACTGAATTATTTTAATGTTATATGAGGAGAGAGTGATAGATTTACCATCAAGGAAAATACAATGCCAGTAAAATCTTAAAGCTGCCCTCTGTAATCCTCTTGAAGAAAATACCAAAAATCTATGTGGAAAGAAGCCAGCTGTAAGTCTATTACCTGTTACAAGCTCTATTAACTGCTATAGCCCAGCTGCCCAGGCAGTCTGACCAACTGGGACAGAGGATTTTTCCATTAAGCTCTTTGATGGCTTTTGCATGGAGCAGAGGCCTTTCTTCGAGGATTTGCTTCTTTCCTAGGATTTGCCCCTTAGTCATTAACTTGAATTAAGAATTATACTATTCATAAGACTGACAAAGGAGATTCTTCACAAATGATTGCTGTAATGACCTCGAATTCTCTCCCTGTTCTCAAATTAGGGTTGCTATTTGGGGTTTTCCATCCGAAAAGTGACCATACTTTATCTGCATCTGTTCTGCTGGCCTACTCAGGGTAGGTGTCAGGTTTTTTTCTTTTTCTTTTCCTTCTGTTTTTATATTTATTTATTTATTTATTTTTAACGTAAGGAATATGTTGCTTAAGCATGCTTACTCTAATAGGTTTAATTCCTTTTATATCTTTTAGTTAGTGAATTTCCTTCATTAAACTTTATTATCATCAGTTACTATTATCATCAGTCTAGAAGTGACTTTTTTTGCTAAATTCAAGCTCAATTTGAATTGGAGAAACATCAAAACATCAACCATCCTCTCTCCAAATTATTTTTTAATACTTATTTCCTAACATTAACTAAGTATGAATGGAAGAAGACTGGTTCTGTTTGCAAACATTATTTGTTCATAAGTCTTCAAGCTGTGCTTTCTTCCATGTCTTTGGAAATTTTGAATAGGTAAATTTTTACCTAAGAATAAGTTAATTTCGTCTAAGATGATTCACCCATGTGCTTGACTATAATATGACTCCATCTTCAGCTTACAAAATGCTTTTCTTTCAATGGCCTAGGTTGAGCAAAATTATAAAAGGATTGTGTTATTATAACACTGAACCATTTCCTTTTTGCTGTTCAACACAGTAATTGGGTGAACTGGCAAGATGTAAATTTTACAGGGTACATAATTAATTGTGTAAAAGAATTTCAAATAATACAAAGATGTTTTACTGTTCTTAAAGATTAAGTTTTATTTCTAATATTTTGCTATCGTCATTATCTTTTCTTCAATATATGGAGTTAATGTACTTAATGTTTACTCTGCCCAATTTGACTTTGGTGACTGTCTCATCTCAGTTATACTTTTAAAAGATAAGTCTAACATTTTTAGGGTTTTTTGATGGTTTTAGATCAGAAGAGTAAATAATTGTCAAAGTCTGTTAATATTTTACTCTGTTTAAGCTTAATCTCCAGGGTGCCTTGCACGGAACTGCAACTGTCCTTCCTTATGCTCACATCAAATAGTCTGCATAATTATCCCCATTTTCTGAATTCTCTATTTGGGGAAAAAAGTGATGTAGTTTTACATCACTTGTATCAATGTCAGTTGATATTTCTCCTGAATTTAGACAAATATGGCAATGATTTTTTGAAATGTGATAAAGCACTTTTCAAAGCATAATAAAGCAATCTTGATCATATTGGAATCTAATCAAAAGTGCTTTAATGTTCATGGTAGTGCTGCTGGTTCTTCAGATTTTGTTTTTAGGAAGATAAACAGTAATAATTTCTCAAAAAACTTGAAATAATCATTTACTTTCTGTACAAATTTTTTTCATGCCTAGTTCTTAATAGTAATAGTTTTGGAGGCCTCTGATTTTGTCACTGGGTTTTTGTTTGCTTGATTATTTGTTTTAGCAACAGTGACAATCTTTGTGTAGGAACATTTATCTAAAACATGAATTCAGAAGCAACCTTTTCATTTCAACTGACCAGGGAAGAATGTTAAATGTGGTAACATGGTTTTAGCAGCAAAATTCAGGATGATATGAGGACAAAGCTATTGAAGTCTGAATAATTCATCATTAAAATCATCACAAGATTTGACATGTGTGAACAACATGATTAATCTGAAAAATAAATGGATATTCTTAGGAAAGAGAGGAATACTTGATTGATAAATGAGATATATAGCTTTCAATGTGAAATAATTATTAATTAAAAGACAAGTCTTATGTAAGAGGATCTACTGAAATAAAACAAGAGAAGGGCTTATCAAAGAAGACGAATTAAAGAAAGATGCCATAAATGTGTTTATGTGACCTAACAAATATACAGCAGGACTAAAATGGTTAGCAACCCCCATGTTGATAATTAATCTAGTTAACAAAACCAAGGATGACTAGTAATGGAAAAAGCAAGGATGACTAGTCATAGTTGATCCTGAGATCTATGAAAGGACTGATTACTGTAAATACCAGATGGAGAACAGAAAGCACAACGGAGGATGTCTGTGTCTCTCAGAATCAGTTTTCTCCTGTCGTGGGAGTAGCAAGGACCCAAATTCAAATGGCACATGCCAGTAACAGACAAGGTGCCTCTAATATGTTCTCTCCTTGTCTTCCTTTTAATATCCCTTTAATGCCACACTGTCTCAATCCCCTTGTGTGGAATGGTCTGATCAGACTGAAGGGGCTTAGATGAACAGGGAAAAATTAAAATATGGCACAACTTTATGATTAAATGCAGCCTAGGTCCTACATATGTGTACAAGACTATATGGTTTACTTATATTTATATTTGATACTGTATATTCTTCAACTACTGTTGATGCAGACAGTATCGTAATTTAATTAAGTAATTTTATTTCCTTAAAATTAATATTGACAAAAGTGAGTCAGCTATTTGGCATGTTGTCTTGTGTGAATGTCATTCTTATGTGTCACTGCACAATAACATTACCTGTAGAATGAAGCCTTGGTATCAGGATGTGGCAAAGAGCTGTGAGGGACAGGGACAAGTCTCCAGACTGGAAGACCCTCTGTTTAGTTGACTGATGTCCACTAGAAACCTTCCCTTTAAGTATCATGAACCTGATGTGCTATCCCTAGGAGTACAAAAGCTCCAGTGTACTGACTGTGTAGCTTGTTTCTTACTATATTCAGCATCACTTACAAGCCAAGGAATTGATGAACATACAACAAATCTGGTCCCTATATCTCTCACTTGCATTCCACACGACAAAATGCTGCCTGCACATGTTCACAAATGTCCTGGTTTCAGCTGATTTCCTTTTTGGTGTCTGGTGTAATACCATGTTTTGGTTTGGGGAGAAAAACAATGTTGATAAGATACTGACGTTTCTAGTTGTTGCTGAGTGGAGCTAGACAGAGCCAAGGATGTTTTAGGTTCTCATACTGCCCAACCAGCAAGGAGGGGCACAATGAGCTGAAAAGAGACAGAACCAGGACAGATAACCTATGCTGGCCGAAGGGATATTCCATACATCATGAGAAAAAACTGAAAACTGAGGTTGAGTTGGCTAGGTGGGTAGCCATTGCTTTGAGATTGGCTGAGCATCAGTCAGTATGTGGTGAACAATTCCTTTGTGCATCACTTGTTTTGTAAATATGTATATATACATATAATTATCATTACATTTTTTTCTCTCCTGTGCACAATCCTTTAAACTAACCTGGGTTTATATTTTGGTACAAAAAATCTTTGTTTTCATCAACCAGGGTGCTTTAGATGTCTGTCAGTAAATGAGAAGGATTTCATATCTGCAAGTCATTAATGCTGAGAAACTAAATTAGACATCATGGTCCTCTAGTTGTTCCCAATTACTTGCAGAAATCTGTGTGATTTTGTATGCCAGGTGGAGAAACACAGTTGTTAAATCAATCAGCATCAGAAAGAAGGCCAAGAAGATGGTCATTTGAAACATAATATTTATGAAATGTGATCTTAGGTCTTGTTACAAGCCAACAAAATTATTTCTTCCTCTCTAAGTAGACAATTTGGTAGCATCCTTGAATCATTGTAACTAAACAACTCACAGTGTAAGAATTCTGGTGAATTATCTGCCTCTTACAGATGAGAACAGAAAACATAATATGCCACTGGGAAAATTTGACTGCTTTTGTGAATAGAGTTATCATATACAAACCAGCAATGAATTCACTTTTGCTGTAAATGCAGCCCATACCATCCACAAATACTGAACATGTTAAAACCTTTAGAATCAAAACATGATTCTGATGTATTTCTTTCCTAACTGAAAGTCATGTTTTCCTTGGCATCATACGTCTCATTTAGAGCAGAAATATATTATTTCACTTTCAGACAGATAAGTGCAAGTTCTGGTGAGGAATCTTCATTGTTAATTCTTATCTCTACTAACTTGTGCTGCTGGGATTCAAAGAGAAAATATCGAATGCCATCCAAGGTTTCACTGCTATCATTTGGATTCTGTAACAGGCTAAGATGCATCACTGAGACTAGAAACAGTATTGAAGAATGAATACTTTTAATCTTGATGTATGAAATATACACATATCTGTGTTACTTTGGCCATCGTAAAAACATTTGGCCTGAAGTTATCTGCTTTGGTTTCCATCAAAGAATTTAAGAAAGTGCTTTAAATATTTTAGTTCTTGGAGGAACGCATCCAATCTTCGGTGGTAAAACACTCATTTGAGCACCTCTGCTATTTGTTTTTCTAACCAGTCATACTAAAAATGTATGACCAGCCTCTGAGAATTCACTGAAACAGCATAAGTGCAAATTACAGTAATATTTTGCGACATAAATAAAGATTTCAGCAGTTGTGATGGTACAGGTCAAAGACTGTGTTGAATAGACATTGAAGTAGCTCTGCTCAGATATGACAACTATTAGGATGGCTGATTCTTTCTTATTTTAACAGAGAGTGATTTGGTCTCAACAATACTGAACCAAGATGAATCGCTGAAAAGCACTAAGTGTCAATCTGCACAGAGCAAGTTAGGTTGGAAGGACAGCTGGAGATATACTTGTCCAGTTATTTGATCTAGATCAAGTTTATCCTTATTTGATCTAGATCAAATTTATCCACTTTTGAGGGAGAAGGAAAGAGGAAAGAGAAGTTGATTGGAACTGTCACCATAGAGCCATAGCAAAGTCATAAAGTAAAAGATGAGTGCATTACTACCTCCTTCCCAAAATATCTGGGACTTCTGTATTGACTAATACATAGGAAAGGAGCACACCTACTAAAACCGGCACTGCAGGTAACTTAGGTTCAGGGATCCTAAGACTGTTAATGCATGATTGGATAATGCCTGAGAAAGCTAGTGAAAGATTCAGAGAGGTAAACAAGCAGATATTCTTGGCTCTGCACTGAAGTAGAAATTTTAGAGCCAATAGAACTTCACTGCTGAAAAGACAAGCATGATGGCCTAAGTTCAATCATTTATGTAGGCTCCTGGTTTTCCTAATTTTTAAACAGAATCTGGGTCCTCCACATGCAGGTGTTTTTGTGATTAGACAGCTGCTTTAAGACTCAGTTTGCTAAACTGCTGTTGACGTGCTTAATGACTCTAGAGCCTCTTACAGGGGAGTTTCTTTGTGATACCTCTGGTAGTCATGCTCTTGTGACATGAGGATAATGATGTTGCTCTGTCAGGCTGTATGCTTGCATATTGTGGTAAGTCATGCTGAAATTACCTAAGAGAATATAAACACACCTGCAATGTGGCAGATGTGTTTTAAAACTGGCAAATTGCATAAAGCATGCAGGATATTGTACCTGATAAAATCAGAAAAATAATAGAGAGGGACTAAATGCCTTTTGCTTTGATCCAAAGTGACATAAAATAGGACAGAGGTACCAAAGTAAAGGGGAAAACATGTTTTTCCTTCTGGCAAGAAGAAATAGGTTTTGTACATCTGATGAATGCAGTCTATTTCTCCTAGTGCACCACTGAAGCCACTAGGCTTCAGTTAACAGTTAACTCCGCAGTTAACTTTGGAATAGAGATTCACATAAACTGTAATTTGGGTTTCTAGCAGGCTAAGACGCCAAGTAGAATCCTAGAACATCCTGAGTTGAGAGACCCATAAGGATCATCAAATCCAACTTCTAAAATCAAGATCAACTCCTAAAATTATTTTGTTGTTACCTACAAATATTATTTGTAAAGTGACTAAGCATTTTATGATTAAGCATGTTTGTCTTGTCCACGGTTGTAGTCAGAAAAAATACTCACCCAGCTAATGGTTCAGTCAGTTATAATTTACTAATTGGTATTTAATGGATGTGATGACATCTAGAATTAATCTTTAAGATTCCATGTCAATATTTTGTAATTTTATTCAGGTTTTTTGGCTCTTTTAAAAATATATAGGAATTAAATAACCCCCATATATATTTCTTTTGTAATGTTTTACTTCTCAATACATATATTTTTAATGTTTTACTTCTCATCTCTTTATAAGCATAGCCAGGACAGCAATCTTTAACTTTGTAATCTATACATTACGTGTGAATGTAGAGAATACCAGTGCAGAAAGCTGACGTCTTCTCCTTTCTTTCTTTCTTTGAAGCCTTATGTGCTCTTTTACTTGCACTGTGTTTGGCAGGGAATTGCTTAACCCTTTTTTCAAGGGCAATTATAGTAATGAAGATCTGTAATGGCTGTTGTTGAATTAGAACAGTTGAGAGGGAAGGAGTAAGTCAGAATGAATTAAAATGATTTCAAAGACCATACAGAAATCTTTTGTGTCCTGGAGAATGACTGAGTAGACAGAGAATATTTGCTTGCTGATTAAAAACTAACACTAAGCAGCCATTCATGTTCTGTCTCCTTTACATTCTCAGTATCAAGTTCTAGGATTTACTCAGAATTAATGCGTAGTTTGGGGAGTTTAGAGCTTCCCTAAATTTTGCTGGTTTGTCTGACTGCTCAGTGTTTACAAGTTCAGTAGTTAATAACTACTGTCCTATTTTTCTTGTATAGTTTTTGCCATCACACAAATTTTGTTCCCCTCACTTTCCCTTCCTATAATTAGTGACAGTTTGCATTAGGACAGTGGCAAAGATCTGAGTTCAAGTACTGAGGTCATATCCTGGATTTTGGCACTAGCCATGACCAAAGATAAACACTCCATCTCTGAAGGCTTTATGTTGCTCCCTACAGTTTCCTGATTGTTAGCTGTGGAATTGGAGGTATTCCTCCAATTAGCATTAAGGTGGATGACTCCTGAAATAGGAGTAGGGCAAAAAGGATCAACAGACATTTCTAAGCAAATTCCATTTTACCTTGAAATATCGGAACTTGAATTTCAGATACTTTCTTTCATGATGAAAATAACAACCAACCCTATAAGTATTTGGAGATTTTATATTTATTGTTATTTTTTGTTAAGATGGAAGTATACTATATCTTAATCTTTTGTTTTCTAGTTTCTTGGAGTTGAAATATACTTCAAAATGGAATAGCCCTAATCCTCTATGCTAGGATAATTGATGAGTGATTAAAATAAGTATTCACACCTCTGGGAGAGTCTGCATACTTTCAAAAATGTTTTCCTGAAGTACCTGACCCTAATTCTAAGTCACAAAATATCAGTTCTGGATGCAACTCTGCTCTGGTAAAGGAGATTCCTAAGACTTAATACTTATTAAATCCTTTGAAATTTGTATGCATATATTTGAGATAACAATGCAATTTAGAGATATTAAATATGGCATAACTAAATGACAGTAAGAAGTAATTACTATATGTTTGTTCATATCAAGCTGAATTTTAAAAACTATTTGGAAAGCATTTTTCTAATATGTTAGAATTTTTTTTTCTCTATAAAGCCATCAATAATTAAAAAATTAAAAGACTATCTATCTATATACACATGTAAATATATAAGCTTTGTTATAAGCAGCTGCCATTGCAATTAGTTGTTATATTTGAAAGGACAAGAATATATTATGTAAAAAAGATTTCATGGAAATAAATCTTTGATTCACTTGAGCAAAGTATAAAGCAGTTGTGATGTTGGCTTTTAATTTGATTAAGGAAATGGCAAAGTGTAAAAGTGGAAAAGTTAGTAAGAAAACTCCCTCAGAATTAAAGACTTTCCCCAGACTTCTAAATATATTGAATGTGAACTGAACAGGGAAAAATCTCATCAACTTTTCCTTTCTATTGTTGAAGAAACTTTAAAATTGCTTTGAACTTTTTGATGTTTTGAAAAGGTGTAGTAATTACATGTTTTACTAAGTTCACCAAAGTTGTCTATATTTCTGTTTACTTGGAAATAATTTCACAAATCAATACTTCATTTTACTTTCATTGAGATCTGTTTATCAAAATGTGTTTAAAAAATCATACTGTGTATCACAAAAGGAGAATATTCTGTCCTGTTACTGTGATTATAGGGTGTTTCCTTTCTGTTTTATCTTTCCCTAAGATGTACTTATGTTAGCAAATGTATCCTTTTTATTTTCCTATTGTAATGTCTACGTTTTCCTGCTTGTTCTGTTCTGCACAGAGCAATTTCTTGTTTATTTGTAAGTACATTTTCTTCCTAAAGAATTTGTGCATTTTAAAGTTTCTGAACTTTCTAAAACTGACAAATAAATACAAAAATATATTTTATTACTTTCCCTTCGTTTCAAGGATAATGGATAACCTCTAGCAATGTCAGCACTTTCCCAGATGCTCTGTCAGTTATTTTAGCCCTTCCATATAAATGTTTTTGAAATTAAATATATTTTTTTACAACAGAACATATGCAGGTAAAACAAAGGGAACACACTTGAGAAATGTCAACCTTTCTCTTTTCAACTTTACAACAGTCTCGCAAACTGTGGTGTCTCTTTCAGAATTGTCATGACTCCAAATTCCAGAGAAGTAACAATGAAATAAATTCTGTGATAAAATGACTTGCTCTTTCCATTCCTTTTCAACCAATGCAGTGTAAATTAGTATAATCCGTTTATATATGAACTTACCTCTGCTTCCCTGAACTTGGAGAGCAAGGCAAATGGCCAAGAATATTAATCCAGTTTTCAAATGCATTCTGTCTGTTGATCATTCACGGTTTTCAAAAAAATCATACAAGGAACTACAACATTGAGGTCAAGTTGAAGTTTTTTTAAGAACTAAAATCCCCAAGTAACTTCCTTCTTCTTTGTTTGATGTTTGATTTTTTGTTTGTTAGTTATTTTTCAGGTGTCTTCAGCTGTGGACTGGTTTGAATCACGACAAAGTGAAGAGTGCAACAGGTTTCAGGATGCAAGAGCTGGACAAACACCTCCAAAGCAAACACTTCTAGCCTGGGGGACAGAAGTGGTAAGACAAGAGTGACGATGTTTTAAAAAAAAGCAGTGTCTGTTTCTGGAATAATCTTTTTATCTGCTGCTCAGACATAATCCCTCTTACGGTCCAGCTGGAAGAGCTTTCTTCATCTTATTAACCTTCTGGAGCAGCATCTGTCAACTCCAGTAGACTTCAGTAGCACTATGATAAACAACGGAAGTCTCTTCTGGTGCCTATTGCCTTTGAACACTGATCATTTGGGCTTTGCAGGGGTACGGCCCATAAGCAGAGGTGAAATAATGGGGTGAGTTGATAGTGCTATTTTCGAACCTGGGATCACGAAAAACAAGGAATTTCCTTTGAAGAGGAAGACAGATTTTTCAGAAAGAATATACTGTATTCAACTTACCCTCTGCATTTGACTTGAGAACCCCTCTCTGTCCTCATGCCAAAAGGTTGCTGTTGAGATATTCCTATCACGGCAGTAGTGATGCTGTTCTGTGACAGCAGGGAAACTACATGACTCAGCAGTTAATTGCAGCAGTGTTCAGGGCTGGCACAAGCTTATTCCAAATTAGTTATGGGGGAGGGAAGATGCTGCATGGAAGAAAAATAAGAGACAGTGGGAAATGCTGTTTCAAGCATCCAGCCATAACCAAGCCATGAACTGTCAGTGAGTGAATATTTTTAAACAGCTCTGGTTCAGTTTCTCAAATAACTATTCCTGTTACATATTTGGAATGTGACATTTTTGTTTTCAAGAATGTTTTATAGTGCTTTACACCTAAAAAACTACTAGGTGGGCGTTTGTAAAGACCCATTTAATTTCAGAGATTTCTGTGCAGCTGTGCTTTATCATAGGAAATACCTAGTTTGGTAGCAAGAATCTGTTTCCTTGCACTGTAAGTACAGGTTTCTTTAAGAATAACCTTCATCTGAACCCAATCAGTATTCTATTTTTACTTGGGATTTAAAAAATGGCAGCTTCCCTCTCATCCTGAGATTGACTAATGTTAGCTGTTCAGAAAAGATAGTAAAGAGATGACAGCACAAAACCAAGTCTGCTTCTTCTTATTTTTCAATTTTTTTTCTGATTTTTAGTGCTCATTGTAATGCTTTATGTATTTCATTTCACGTGCACTGCTTTAACATTCCAACAAAACAAACTAGGAATTTTTCAGTAGCCCGATGCATGATCAAGATTTCTCAAGATTTCAAGATTTGAATATTATAGGACTGACTTTACATATTTCATATTTCATAATCTTATGGTATACGTTATAGTGATAGAAGCACTACCTCTATAATCCAGGCAAATTTTAGCACACATTTGTAGACACAAATTTGCAGATGAATGAAGAAATTCCCCCATTATGTTATCTTATTTTTGGCTGCTTTAGCTTTGGATCTGCAACTTTTGGAAACAGACATTTTCTCATAGCAATGAAATCAACTTTTTCTGGTGTTACCATTTCAAAATTCATGGTTCGTATTTCTGAAAGTCACAGTCTATTTCTTCAGAGCAACTTAGGTACCAAACTTCCTATGGAGTTTAGCAGGAATATGATCCTTTAATTCCGTTATGAATCTAATTTAAGCATCAGAATGAATTTTGAAAATATGCCATAAAGAGATTTTCTTAATAACTGTGCAAGGCTTTTAGTGAAGCCTGAACCAAGAATCAGAAATCTTTTACCAAAGCCATAATTTAAAAGTATTAAGTGAGCCCTTCACATGTAGAAGTTACGCAAACAAGAAAACATGCTTTTATCTTTCATATAATTTAAAATAAGCATATCTAGGAACAATCCTAGAAGACTCCACAGTGTTATTTAACATCAAGATATGATTTCAGGAAAATATTGAGCACCATGGATAAAATGACTAAAAACTGTAGGGCTGGAGTCTGCATAAATTGGTCTGGTATTTAACTCATGAATATTTCAGGCTTTTTTTTCTGTTAAGGCGATATATTCTATGTATTTCCATATAATTAAGAAATTTTGTAACTAGGCTTGATAACTGCCACATTGGAAGCAAAGAAAAATGATAAACATTAAAAGCTAAAGTAGTATTATCTAGGGACTACTCTATCTCTGAATACTGTAGCACTTAATTATAGGTCACTGTTAATTAATCTAGAAGTGCTTCCTTTAGTTGATTTGCTGACGACAGTGGTTATATATTCTTAAAGAGACAATTAAAAAAAAATCTACTGAAATTCAACAGTGCATTACAAATATGCTACCAAGATGTGGGAAGGGCAAAAGTGTATACTAAAATATCCATTCATCCAAGATAAGTGCTCGCAAATGGTTTAAATTAGACCTGTTAATGGCAAATTTCAATGAATCACTGCACATACCTAAAATAATATGCTGACATGCTGTTTAAATACAACAAAAGCTGTTTCCTTTGTTTGCAGAAAAATGACAATATGGGCCATCAAGGATGTTGTTTTGAAGACTTTTTAGGCAAATGGTGGGCAAAACTGGTGCCACATAAGGATGATCTGAAATTAGTTATGCATAGTACTGAATGTTAGGTCCCTTACTTAGATCTGAAAATCAGTGTGTCAGCTAACTCAAGTTCCCAAAGCAAATGAAATAGACTGTCTCCTCCAAGCAGAAGTTTGTACCATCTACGTTTGAGTTCTGTTTTTATATCATAGAATCATAGAATGGCTTGGATTGGAAGGGAACTCAAAGATCATCTAGTTTCAACTTCTCTACCATAGGCAGGGTTGCCAACCACTAATTCAGGTACTAGATCAGTTTGTGCAAAACACCATCCAGCTTGGTCATGAATATCTGCAGGAATTGGATATCCACACTTGTTAATTATGAAGAATCTTTTAAATAACCCAAAGTCTTTATCTGACTCCATAGGACACAGAGTGGTACCTGACAGTGGGCACACACCAGATACAAATGCAGGCTTTTGAATGAAATGGAGGAAACTGCTTCTTTCTTTGCTGTTAAGAACCTCTCAACCTCTGTATCCACAAAAAGAAGGGATGAACATGAGAGTTAGAAAAAAATCTGAAGGAACAAAAAAGATAGTAGGTGTAAGAATCACAGAATCACAGAATTGTAGGGGTTGGAAGGGACCTCCAGAGATCATCGAGTCCAACCCCCCTGCCAAAGCAGGTTCCCTAAACCAGGTCACACAAGTAGGTGTCCAGGCAGGTCTTGAACATCTCCAGAGAAGAAGACTCCACCACCTCCCTGGGCAGCCTGTTCCAGTGCTCCGTCACCTCACTGTAAAGAAGTTCTTGCGCACATTTGTGCGGAACTTCCTATGCTGCAGTTTCCAGCCGTTTCCCCTTGTCCTGTCTCCACTCACCACTGAAAACAGTCCGGCCTCGCCATTCTGCCCCCCACACCTTAGGTATTTATAGACCTGGATCAGGTCCCCTCTCAGTCTTCTTTTCTCAAGGCTGAACAGACCCAGTTCACTCAGCCTTTCCTCATAGGAGAGATGCTCCAGGCCCTTCACCATCTTTGTGGCCCTCCGCTGGACTCTTTCAAAGAGTTCCCTGTCTTTTTTGTACTGGGGAGCAGAAAGAAAGAAAGAAAGAATGTCTCTTTATTCCCCTTTCTCATGCAACTAAAGCATTGATAAACAAAGGTATTATTTTAATCTTAAAAAATTGAGTTGAATTATTTTTTTATTTCTAGATGTTTTTATTTGCATATTAAAGCTAATCATCAGCACTAGTCCTGTATTAATGATCTTGTCATGAAGAAAATAAATTGTCTTTTTGTTAAGCTTTTCCAGTTGAGCAGTTTGCATTTTGTCCATTACCACTTTCCAGCCATCAGGTTCTCTTTTTCTTACTGACCTGATATAACACTTCTACTTAGTGAGTAAATAAAAGAAAAAAAAAGAAAAAAAAGAAAAAAAAAATGGAAACACAGGCCCATACCTCTCAGGACAGTTAAAAATTCCCAATTGTTTTTTTTTTTCCCTTGTGTTTCATAGGCAATTTGTCTTTCTCATTTCTCTCCTGAGTTCCACTGCTGACTGTATATAACAAAGCCAAATATGGGGATCAAAAGCCCATTAATGAACAGATAACTATCCAGTCTAATGATAATTATCATTGGCAGAGAGAGTTTGAAAGAACAGTTTTCTGATACAGGCAACTCTTGTTTAAACAAGATAAAAATGAGAAGCAGAGTATAATACTTTATTGGAAAGGAGTAAAAGCAAAGAAATTTTTTTTAAATAGAATTTTGGTATATCACAAGTAGTTCAATATTCTCTCTCTTTTTTTTTTCTTAATAGCAGTAATATATAGAAACACTATGCTAATGGGAGGGTGATGAAGATTTGACCATAGGATTATAGAAGTCTTTGGCCTGAAAGTGAGATGACTGGCTGAAGAGATGATTGAATTATCTAGTTTTTCTCATAATACAAGAACAGAAAAACCACCCAGTTTAATTTTCAGACAACTACTGTCCATCTTATTCCTCATTTTGTATTGTTGGTCTCTGCAGCAGCTTACTGGGACAATAATTTTTCCAATTTGTTTGCTTTACAGAAATTTACTTCCTTTATATAAGAATAAGAAGTAAATTGAATGGTCCTCATGGAATGTGATATACATACTGTTCCCATTGCACTCTCTTGCACAATTAATCACTTATTATAAAACACCAAGGACACAGTAGGAGCTAGATCACTTCATGTTTGCTTATTTTTTATCTTCTTTCTCTATCCATCTCCATTTGCCATAAACGAAACTGAGATAGAAATTAAGTGGGCCTTTGATCTGATCCAACATGGCTATTGCTAGGCACTGAGTTACAAGCTTAGGACTGAGATGTAGGCCCTAACTTGGTCCACTTGATATTAACATCAAACTTAGTAGCTGTGGCAACTCCTGCTCATACTGAATGGTGTAGCAACCTTGTTATTTTTCTGTGATATCTCTCCTCCAACACAAGGAGTCTGATGTTTTGTTCTGCAGGCTCAGCAAACACTGTGGGATCCTGGCCTGAACATTAAGTTGA